GCGGGGGTGAGGGGAGGGGGGTGGTAACGGGGCGGCCCGGCAGCCCCGGTGTGGGGGTGATAGGGATGATCATGGAAGCGTTCGAGGTGGGGTTGGATGGGGCTTGGAGCGACGTGGTCTAGTGGGAAGTGTCCCTGCCCGCGCAGGGGGGTTGGAACCAGGTGATCTTTAAGGTCCCTTCCAACCCAAACCGTTCGGTGAGTCCGTGAGGGGGAAGGGGTGGGTGATGACGGGTCGGGGTGGGATGGGGAAGAGGGGGATGGGATGCCACCTCGCACCCCGACCTCCTCCCGCACCGTTCGCAGCCCCTGCTGGCGGTGCACGAACCCCAGCTGTTCCAGCTGCTTCAGCTGCAGAGGTGGAACCCACGACCACTGCCCCTGAGCCCCCTCCTCCCCTGCCGCCTCCCATCCCCTTGCACAGGTACCCCTCTCCCTCATCGTGCCCCTGCCAGGCCTTAGCTCCCAGGGCACAGTCCTGGGCGGACGGGGATTTTTTGGTCGTGTCCATCAAGAGGGCAACATCCAGAGGGCACAGGAGGGTTAGGACGGCGCTGAGTCACCTCGGTTACCAGAGCAGGGGCAGACGCAGAAGCTGTTTGGCCTCGGGGTTGCACAGCACTGCGGTGGCAGAGCCTCCCGGCTGGGGCCGGCGGTGAGGAGTGAGTAACACAGCGCCAAAACAAAAAGCGGGTGAAACCATGTGCGTGAGATTACTGTTAACAACACTAATGAGCTAACACCAAAATTCACAGGGGAGGCTTTTTTCGGATTTCTGCATTTCAAACAAGTATTTCTGCTTTCCTTGTTTCCACTGAGGTCACCGTCTTCTAAAATAAAAGCCTGCGTTTTTGTCCACAAAGTTACAATTAGGATTTTTTTTTAGCACCGTGGCTGCTCGAAAAAAATACGTAGTAAAACAACACAGCATTTCTAAAGTACAATATTCAAATTTGAGGTCTATAATTTAGATTATTATACCTGTTTTAATTGGATTAAAAAACATGGGACAGGTGCAACATGAAATTATATTAATCAGCCCATGAGGAGGCAGGAGGGAATTTCTTTATATTATTCAAATATTTCTTCCACTGACAGGTGAAGGAAGGGTTTCACTGGGGATTACCTAGGCAGTTTTCTGCTCCAAAGACTGCTGGTTCGTGCCATAGATTGAATTTATGCAGTCACAGTAAAATTTGCATATGTAACCCATAACATGAAATCAGATGCCAAGTAGTGCCAGAAATAGCACAGTCTAATACAGGTGAAAACTCACTTGCTCCCTGATCAGGAACTGTCTCCCAAATACGCCTTCTCCTTCATTTAGTGAACCTTTTCATGCAAGTGAGGATTTGTGAGATAAAGCCTTATGTTTTAAGGAGGTGATCCTCTGTTGTAATTCAAAACTTAGATCTCAGTTACGATACCTTAGCCTTGGGTAGATGCTTTTAAGTATTTCCCTGTTGAAAAGCGCTTGCTGGGCAGAGATCCTGTAGCCCCCAAACGTTCTTTGCACGCTCAGTGGCTTATGGAAGGACTCACAGCCCAGCTTTCCAAAAGCAAATCCGAGAGATCAGCCTTTGCAATCGCACTGCTGCTGGGTCGCCAGGAAATTGAGTCATTTTAAGCCAACCAGGAGGGTCTCCAACTACAGCAGAAGATAGATCTTGTCTTAACAAGCAGATGGTAATGTGAATCTGAGAGTCTATAACCCAGAAAATTAGATTTGGTACCCTAGAGTTGTAATTCCCTTTAAAATGTCAGGATTAAAAGCAGATTTCAAACTAGAAGTGGTCTTTCACTGTAGTTCTACTGTCTCAGGGAAGATCCCTAAACCACACGTAGGCAGGGGCAGACAGCACCTTTATCCCTGCCATTCAGTAACTATTTTTAAATTTATTTAATTGAAGATTAGTCTCTGCGTATGAATGAAAATTACTCTCTAAAACAACGTAAGGAGGTTTTTGTCTTAAAGAGGGTGTGGAACTTCTTTTTTCTCTTCTATTCCAAAATGCTCTACTGAAGGATGAATTGCTGACTTGGTCTCATTTTACCAAGCAAAATCCACTTTGGGCAACACTCTGATACCTGAACTCATATTTGTTTCATCAACGACATCTTCTTTATCAGGTCTTCTGGCATAAATATGCTCCCAGTCAAAGCAGATTAAGACAAGTCTAATTCCACCAAGCTCTGTAACAAAAGGCTCTTTCAAAAATACACACACCCATCAGTTGCACAAGATGAGCTGGCTCCCAGCAGCCTTGTGCTCTCAAAGCGCTTCCATGCAAGTTACTGGAAAATTATTGCTACATCTACAAATTGTAATTATTAATGCCACAGACCTTGAGCATTTGTTTTTTGGCCCAAACACTACGTAACATCTGTGGTGACCCAAACCCTGCTAGGCATCTTCAGCCTAAGAAAGTTCCTTCTGGGCAGGGTGGCGACCTAAAGCACCTTGCCACCTTTTCTCCTGAGGGAAAACCTGGCGCAGCCCATAGAGACTGCAACAAACTGGGGAGAATAGGGGGTCAGCTGGGAAGGCACAGCATGGCTGTGTTGTCCAGGGGGTTTCATTTTGCTTTGTCCGGGCTGTGACAGAGCATAGCCCTTCAACCTCCAGAGCTGGAGAAGGCTGAAAGGCATGCACGGCAGAGGATGCCTCAGCTCCCCCAGTGCTGCCCTCCCAGGTTTTTATTGCACCACCTGCATTTACTGGGATGTATCAATAATGCCAGCTAGTGGCCAGTATTAGCAACATTTTTTTCCTGAAACCGTCTGATATACACCTGCAAATAGTGGGATCTGCTTATCTTGGTATCTCAGACAACTGCAAAATTAAGAAACAAATTTTAATTGTTTCTGAAAACTCTGCTCCCTCCCTCACTGCAGAATACAGCCTGGACAAGTAGTGTGGAATCAAAGCTAATCAGTCTTTCTTTAGGTTATATTGATATACTTGATTATTGATACTTTGAAAGGATCTGAAAATACAAGTAAGAGCAAAATAAAATCTTGTTGCCTCAGAGCTTGCACTTGCTGGGTAAGGGTCTCATTGCAGAAGCCAGATAGGTTGAAAGCAAACACCTTATCCTGTCACCACCGACTAAGCATCTCAGCTAATCACAGTCACGTGTCTCCCTGTTGCTGCCCTATGAAGAGTCAGGACCAGGAAAAGATGCACTGGAACTGCTCTGCTGGGCTTCCCTCTGCCAGAGGCCTCCAGTAACTGCAACACAGAAACAACTGAGGCAGTGCCCTTAATGAAAGCAAAGCCAAGGGGCCTGCTCAGTGTTCGGGGTTTTCTTTTCATTAAAACAGACTTCCACATTCTCAACACCCTTTTAAACTGTAACCATGAGATTTTCTCTTAGAGCTGGGCCCTCATACTGAGAACAGCATTTCAATGACAGTGCAAATTCAGACTGAAGGAAAATTTTGCTGCCCAGATTTTAGCCATCTCTAGTTGATCCTTTCCAACACAAGCTTTGTAACCTGAGCTGCAAGGCTGCAGGACAAGCGACTGCTGGGCCATCCTATGGAGTGGCATCAAGGCAGCCGAAGGGAAGCCTCCAACAGAAGCACCTGTGATCAGCCTGGCAAAGCCCACACACAGTGTAGGGGGCAGGAGGGTAGCAGAAAGATGGGGCTGAGGACTCTGCTCAGAAAAATCCGGGCTGCAAAGCTTGGGTAGAAATTTGTGTGTGCTTCCAAAGACAACCTCCCAATACCCTATGCCATCCCCCATACCTTTGTGTGTAGATGATCACGGCCAATCTAATCCCTGATGTAACTAGTCCCTGCCTATATACGGTCAAATGATGTGGCCCCGCATCATTTTGAGTTTAGTCTCATGTCCTGGCCCCAGGATTGGTAACAGTGCTCTTAAATTACCTCAATTCTGGGATCTCTGGTGAGAGAAACTAGCTCCTTTGGGTGATGCCTGGACATGGTTTGCTCCAGGGCTGCTCCCTAGAGACATCGTGAGCAAGACTCTGTCAGTTGTCTCCCTCTGTGTTAGCTTACTCTCCAAAAAGGCACCCTACCTCCTCTTCTCACTCAGAAAATCCCCCTGATGCTATAGCTCCACCTCATGCATGCAACAGTTGACAAGAAAAAAACTCAAATGACCAGTTGTGTCCTGAGGAGGCCACATGGGGTTCAGAAGAGGCCAAGACTGAGAAAAGCTATGTATGGATGTGGCTGGTCTGCTATAAGCAAGGGCTAGCCTATACATCATCAGGGTGTCTGCAGTGCTCAGTCCTTGGGGCACACACTGGGCTGAATGCTATAGGAGATATAGGCTTTAGAGAAATAAAGACATAAAAAAATAAATCATGCCCAGAAAGTGGAGTTTTGCCTTCCCTGTAGAGCAGCAAGTAGTTGCTCTGCCAGGCACACAGTCCCTCCTAACTGCGAGTGAGGAGCACGGCAGCTCTTGGGGCCCACAGTTCTGCAGGTGTGGGAGCAGAATAAACGTATCTCCCCAGTCCATCTCCAAAGCAGCAGCCTGGGACAAGGGTCAACCTCTAGGTAAAGTGACAGAGCACACACTTCTAGTAATAACTTGGTTTCACAACACTTTTCTGGAGCAGTATAACCTTTGTGGTATGTTTTAAACTGGAAAACAAAAAAAAATAAATAATGGCAGTTTACAATCCAATTGCTTCATGCAAGTGAGTATTTGCTGCATGGGTGTCAAACGTTCCTTGTTCTGCAATGGGTGTAATTAGCCTCCTGCTGCAGACTGTGAGTCGAGGTGCGTGAACACCGCTGCCACACCTCTGTGCACTTGCAGCTTTTCCATGCAGCAGGCAAACCCCAAGTTTCTCAGTATAATTCCCAGTTTGCTTTTAGAATAGCACTGAGAAAACCGGAGGTAAAGGCTTAGTAACTATTCCCCTCCTAGAGACTGCTCAGGATCAATACCTGTGTTTGCTTTAACAGTTCAGGAGAGCACATGTCAGCAGGTTGGAAATGGTCCATGACATAGTTTTTCTCTAAAAAACAGTACAGAGGAGTCAGTGTTTCTTCCCTCTTTGCTATACTTGTATTGCTACATTCTTCCTAGATGTTGGTCTCTGAGACTGGTGTTCTGGGATTAGCCTGAACTTCAAAAGGGGGCATGTATAATTCTTCATATTAAAGGAAAACTCAGACTATTTATTTAACATATATATTTTGGGGCTTGCTCCTTTGATCCAACAAATGCCCTAAATCCTGCTTTTTTTGTCCTAGGTTGTTTGATGTTTAAAAAAAACCAAAACTAAACTAAATGAAAAGAACTGGGTTTTTCCTAAGTAGATCCATTCACATTGTGTATATAAAGTAGCTGAAATCAGTACAGGGGAACAGAAACCTCAAACCCAGCAAGTGTTACAAAGCTGACTAAGTGGACCTGATTTCTGTACAAGTTTCCCTGTATGTATGCCTTGTGT